TTTTTTTTTTTTTTTTCATAATATTATTCTATTAGTAAGAACATTTATTATGCTTTATTCCACGAGAGAACATGCCAACATCCATAATCAGTTTGTCTGCACATCACCACATGACACCCTGCCTAAGATAACCAGTTTTAAATGTTTTGATAGCAGTGGAATGCACAGAACTGCCATATTCTCTTGTAAAACAGTATAGGAACATTCTATTTTATTATTTCACAATTATTATTATTCAAATTTCTTAATCACTCATTTATTCAACAAATTTTAATAAATATGCTTCAAAGTTATTTTTTTAGTGTAAGTAGTTGTAAGTAGTATTTACTATTTAAGTGAATTTTAGTAATAAATTTGCTTGAATCATTTKTGAAAAATACTTGTATATATTTAAAACAATGGCAATTTTAGTATAGATGACTATATAAAATATGTATAACAAAGTAAAAATTGAGAATATGATATTAGATATAACAAGAAGACATAACTATTATTAAAAGAAGAAATCGTAAATACAATTACTTTTTTAAGTGCTTAATAAGTAAAATATATACCTTTCATTACTACCTTATATTTTTTATAATTGCTTATCCTAATGATAAATAAAAATACAACTTGTAATTAGTAAGCTTCTCAAAATTTCATTCATATTAAATTTCTATCAATATATTTGTACGTGTCATCTTTGTAACATTGTGGAATTACAATGTTTTTAAAATTAGACTTATTTTTTGAATTTAATTTATTCCTTCTATATTACTTCTTAGGATGAGGCATCATTCCATCTCACCAATGAAGGTAGGCGTGCTATGCAAATGCATACTGGCGCAAGTGGGGCAAGTTCTAGTAAAAGTGGGTCTGGATCTGCAGCAGGAGGTTCATTGTGGCTGTCTGAACTTGGTTGGCGAGATATGTGGGCAATGGTAGCTAAACATCATAACAATGATCCAGAAGGACAAAGAAATGGTGAAGGTACTGGTGGTCATGTATACGGAGAAAGCTATAATAGTAACCCAAGCTTAGTCTTACAGCATAATAGTAAGAGTGTGCCAGCTATATCTTCTTGGGGCACTGATGTTTTACTGCGCGTACAAGTCCCACTTGATGTAAATCGTAGTCATAACAATCAAAGTGAGTATTTATGTATTACTCTGGCATAATTACTCAACTCATTTTACATTTAATATTTATATCTATCTTACATTAAATATTTAATTTGTAGATGATGAGTGGTGTGATTCATGGATAACAGCTGGTGCTTCTGATGATAACAATGATGATGATGGTGATTTTGGAGATAGTGGCTCCATTATTGATGATGATATTGTAGTTGAATCACCACTGGCTCGGCGGCAACGATTCTGTAGCCGTATTGAGGGCTATGGTGATGTATGTAGCTGTGCACATCCTGCTCCCCTAGATTTTCATCCATTACCTGTGAATATAAAATATTTTTATTGGAGTAAGATTAATAAATAATAAGAAAAATTATTTTTACACAGATACCTGATTCAAATATTGACCGAGTTCCTGTCGTAATAGTAGCTGGTAATCGAGCTGACTATCTTTACAGGTATAACTATTGTTATTTAAAAGTGTACTAAGTGATTTATTTTATATGATTATTATGTATTAATATTTATTATGTTATATTGTTTTGATAGTATAATTTTAGTATATTCTCTGTTATTGGTAATGATTATGTTTAATAATAGAACATTAAAATCTGTGCTGAATGCTCGAGGTGTTCAACGACATATGGTTACTGTTCATGTGGACGGATATTACGACGAACCTGTTGAAGTAGCTCGCCTGTTGGGTGTGAGGGCTGTGCAACACATGCCTGCTATAGGTGATTCGGTCAATGGTGTTAGTGGAGGGCAAATTTCAAGCAATACTAATTCACGTCGCCGCCGAGTTACACAGCATTACAAATCAGCCTTAACAAACACATTTGGTTCATTGTTCCCTCAGGCTGATTATGCTATTGTGTTGGAAGATGATCTTGATGTTTCTGTTGACTTTTTTAGGTATGTAATTATATTATTCATAAGTAATATATATATGGATAAGACATACCATGTATTCAAGTGTGACCTAAGAGCATAATAGTTACCAAAGTGGTTAATTATAATTAAGGTGTGGTATCGGCCATAAGTGATGACGAAGACTCAATTTTAGGCGCACATTGAATTGAAAAATTTGGAAAGTGATATTATTGCTTTATAAGTTTATAACATGTTCAATCTATCGTTTACATTTTATTGATATAAATTATAGAATAACTAAAATTGAATCTTAATTTAATAAAATGTATATTTACGAATGAAAAGACAAGGTATGTTTGTCATTATTTTTGGAAGTGGTATCGCAATGTAAACATTTATACACCATTTTAAATAAATAATATTAAAATTAATTATCGTATTTAATGAAAAATTGGTTCAAATCAGATTGATAAAAATTGTATTTATTATAAATCACCTGTAACCACATAAAACCTATATGGTAACAAAGTAGACTCTTCGTTCACAGCATAACGTGTACCTATAATACCTATATTATCTATGATATTATTCTGCTAAATATCTTATCAAAAAAAATTAAGTCTTGTAGATAAGAAAATAAGCTTGATATTAACATTGATTAGTTTTATAAAATTAACTGATCTATACTATCTTAAGGGTTAATGGAAGATTATTATTGTGTTGTTTAGCTTCTTCAGTCAGACTCTTCCATTGTTGGCAGTAGCTGATGACTCTACAGATGGTGGTAGTGGTTCTGGATCGCTGTACTGTGTGTCTGCATGGAATGACCAAGGATATGAGCACACTGCTAGTCGACCAGATGTTTTATACCGTATCGATTGGATGCCAGGATTAGGATGGATGCTTAAAAAATCCTTATACAAGGACCAACTTGAATCAGAATGGCCAACAGTAGAGAAAGTTAGTATATTGATAGTATAGTAATATAATTAATTGATCTCAAATAATCTTATTCTAATTGATGTTATTTTCTTATACATATTTTTAAATATAATAACAATTCATAAAGTTGGTATATTTATTAGTTTTGATTTTTAATAATTATTTTTAATTTTTATTTTGTAAGGCAATTTTTGTTTTACTCTTTTGATATGATTTATTACTCCAATAATAAATTTATTTTTTCCTGTTTGATATTAATATTTCATTTATCAATATCTTTTTCAAAGAATAAAATTTAAAAAATTATTTTGATCATTATTATACAACTTAACTCATAAAAACTTATTATTACTTATGCTGTCTACTAAATATTGACTGATATCTATATGATTTTTTAGCCCTGGGATTGGGATATGTGGATGCGATCAACCAAAGTACAGCGTGGTAGACAATGTATAGTACCAGAAGTCAGTAGAACATATCATTTTGGATCATCTCGTTCTGTTAACGTGAATCCATATTTTCAACGTACATATTTTGGTCGTCATGCATTTTATAACCCTACCGCTGCTACAAATGGAGCAAGTGCTGGATCTCATAGTGGTGGAGCTGGAGGAGAATATGATGATGGAGGGGGTTTGATTCGTTTCAAAAATATTGACAAGTATTACTAGAATTAAATAATATTTTTGTGTTATTACAGATTATATAAAACCCAATGGTGCATTTCTGAATTTATTGATAACTTGAACCTACCTCAATGCAGTAGGACCACATAGATCATGGCTTGAATAGGAAGTGCACCATCTAGTTTGATATAATCTGTGGTTATATGATATTTAATGGTTTACTTTTTTACACATTTCAATGTGTATTAAATAAGTATATGAAATATAGTTGTTATGTATTATGAATATAGGATGACTCGAATAACATACCTTGGGTGGATGGAACGTAGGATCATGACAGAAGGCCAACTGTTAGATCATACTAGGTGGCCCTGCCGCAAAAAACAGTGGAATAATGAAGGTAGCAAACATAATGATAACAGACGTGTGCAGAATGCAAAAAAAAGAAACTATTATCAATCAGACGAAGAATTTTTCGTTATTGATGAAATGATGAATAATGACAATACAATTAGATCTAAAAAATTATTTTTACTATTCATAAAAATGGAAGATCCATCTGGTGGCAACAGAAATACAGCTAATGTGGCTTGGACTCCTTTGGCAAAAGTAAATAAGTAACTAATGTAATACTATTGAACTGTTCAATGGTTATTAAGGGAATTAAAGGATGTTAATACTTGATCAATTTAGACTAAAATCCTGACTAAATTTAGTAAATAATGCATAATCAGAATGCTTTCTATTTTTATTAACAAAATTAATTTGGATGCTTTAGGTTCTTAACTTGGAAAAAATTATTTTATCATAATTCATTTTTATACTGAAAGAAATATAAATGTGTTTTTTTTTAATAACATAATTTAAATTTATTTGTGGGAGAAAGCCAAGTAAAAGAAGTGATTGGCGATACAATGCTTAAAGGGTTGGGAATAAGAATATATTTGAATAAAACTAAATTGATTGAACAAGGCATGTGATGATGAGATATCTAAAGTGAATAGATTCAGATACTTAGGATTGGTGTTACCGAAAAACAATGGTCTTGAGAAATAAGAATATCATATTATATTTAAATAGATGAAGTAAAGTGAATTGTCAGATATTTTGTATGATAAGAAGATGAGATTTTAATATACATGTTGTATAACCGATTCTAGGCTAGGCATGTTGTATGGATTGAAGTTTCTGGTAATGAATAATAAAATAGAACATGTATATCTCAGAGATGAGAATGCAAAAGTTAATATAACTCAGTATGAAATTACTGATAAAAAATATATTCATTAATTATAGTGTAAGAGTGGCAGAATTTGTAGAAAAAATGAAGGAAAATAGGTTGATAATTTGAACGTGTTGTGAGAAAAGATGAGTTGGCTTATGTCAAAATATTAGAAAAAACTAAAAAGTAAGGGTGAAGATGATTAAAGAATAAAAAATACAGAATAGCACGAAAACGTCTGGATGCATATAATAGATGTGGTGGACAAAGCTATCTGGAGGTGTCGGGTAAGGGTGGCTGATCGGATATAGTTAAGGGTAAAGGGTGAAGAAATTGAAGAAAATTATGTAATTTTCTTTGATCTATGTAGATAATAATAAATATTAAAGTATTCTCAGTATTTATAAATGTTTCCAAGTTGTAGAATTATTATTAAATTATGTTATTATTGAACTACGAGTATCATCGCCAAAAATAACTTGGTTAGTTCTGCTTTGGTGCATTAGTGCAATCATGACATACAAAATGCTCGTTTATATTTCATAGACTAATCATTTAAAAAATATATATGCTAGAATAATTATAAAATAAACAAATAAATAATCTTATAAGTTACYTGAAAATTGTGTTTACCTCCATCAATTCTTTAAACTGTTAAAAACTATAATATTACCAATGAATATAATTATATTTACTTCTATATTTAGTGCCTAGGTATATGGGATCTAGACATTAGAGGACATTACAAGGGAATGTGGCGGCTATATCTTAATACAGATAATCAAGATGACGGAACAAATGCAGACGAAGAAGGAATTCCAACACATATTAAAAGTGGTTCTGAATTATTTATTATCAGTTGCCCATTTTCACACTTTTGGTAAGCTCTACTAATGTTAAAATAAGTATTATTTTAATAACCACTAATTTATGTGAATCTAGGACAAAATATCCAACGGTCAAAATATCCAAATTTATCTGTTTTTTACGTAAATTAAATTATTAAATTATAAAAATATACCTAATATTTAATAATTATATAAATATAATTAATATATTATATAATTAAATATATATATAATTTTTAAATTTTTAGAAAATAGTGTATTATTATTTGACTATTTCACTAATGTTTGTGCAGTATATTTTGTGATATTATTATACTACTAACGTAATTTATATATTTAGGAGTTAATTTTATTAGAAAGTAAAGTGTAATATATTAATTAACATAAAATTTTGATATTTTGTCAGTGGATATTTTGACCGATTACCAATTTATGTATCATTATCTACTATATGGTTGTACAGTTTTATATATTATGTTAATTTATTATTCTGGTTAGGTATTTATTTTATTGAAATTATTACTATATTCATATTATAAACATGTGTATTATGTTAGCATTTGAATATGAAATCAGGAGGGTACCTTAATTTAACAGTTTCTTTTTTTTTTATCCTATATTGCATGTTGATATATTGTAATTTTTCTAAATTGTATTATTATTTCTATTTTTAATAGCAAATTCAAGCCGATGAATGTGACTGCTTTATGGTACAATAGCATTGGAATTGGGGAAGATGACGATGGTGGAGACGATATGCTGTAGGTTTTGAACAGTTGAGGACAAAAAGACTACTGATTAATGTAGTTATTCTTATTACCATTATATCATAATATACTACATATCTATGTTAAACATTTAAAATTACAATTTTATAATGTTTCATCTCATTTATTATTATTTTKTAAAAACATACTAGTATGGGTATATATATATAATAGGTACATTAAGTATGATAATGCTTGCAAGCTTGTTATGAGGATCTCATTCTAATTAATATTTTGAAGAATCACCCTCGAGGACCGCCTATCCTCGGAATAGTACTTCCATTCTCACTCTTTTATGATAAAACTCAAGCTATCTCTCATAATCTGTTTGGTTCGACTATATATCCCAGTCCTCAAAACAAATGTTCCATACATTTCTATGAGCCTTTAGTCATTATATCAGTATATAACATATTGTAAGTATTATAAACTCTTCCAGTTTTAACTAAATAAACTGCCGACATGATATTTTAACCCTAATTTTTAATGTAGAGACTGCTTTAATTTCTTATTTAATTTAATTTACTTAACTTAGGCCAGGTTCTCATGAATCAAATTCTTGTCAAAATGTGTCTCTTTAGATTTTTAACATACCATATAAATGGTACACCTATACAAAAATGTATTTGTCACTGGTACATTTCCAGAAGATATGGCAAAAGTCAAAAATAAGAATAGCAAATAATATACTTTTTAATGTACTATATATATATGCCAATTGTTGAAAATTTAATATAGGTCTATGTAAATGACGAACCCACTTGACACGTTCTTTGCAAGTATAGCAATCACGAGAACCCAACTTTAAAATTAAGCTGAAGAATTTTTTACTTTATTAATTATATGATATAAATATGTTATAATTGTTAATTTATATCAAGAATAATACAATGATAAACTAATTTTTATTGTTTTTAATGTGTTTATAACTTGTTTTGACTCTAAAGCTAAAATATATTGTATTTTATCATTATTTTTAAGTTAAAATTAAATAATATTTTTATACTAAGGTTTTAGAGACTGCCCCATCCCATTAATTTGTATATAGTTTTTATTTTTTAATAAAATTTTAAAATATTTTTATCGCTGTTTTATTATATTTTTTTATTCATACTTTAACCACAATTATAGTATATTAATATAATAATTAATATACACAAATCAGTGGCGCATTTGAGGTGGGGACATTGATTACTTTTATGATTTGCTTATTTATCTGTTCAATTCAAAAACTATTAATAGGAACTTTAATTGTGACATTATTCATCCTAATTAAATTAAATAAAAAATAATAATTTAATTAATTTAATTTTTATGGACGTTGGAGCTTTGTTACTTTTAAGATTTCTTTAAAAATAATCTTTTCAATGTTTGCATGCAAAATTCAAGTCTGAATTGTTAATTTTATTTATTTAAATTTTAGACTAATAATTATTAAAATAATACTTATAATTTATTATTATTTTCATACACTGCCTACATAATATTATGTGTACGTATTAATTACAATTTATTAATTTTCATATTGAGACTATATAATTCATTGCCTTTTCACTATTAAAAATCAATAAGCCTCTAAATTGCAATATAGTGTAACATAACTACATTTTTGGCTCTTGATTTACTGAATAAAATAACTTATTAAATGTTAATAGTTTAAGAGACCTTAAAGGCTTAAACTAACTTGTCAAAATCATTTGGGGTAAAAACACTGCTTATGTAAATACTGAGGTGGATGTAATAGTTTCATGGTGAGCATTGTGGTGGTAAACTAGTAAATACTACACACAAAAAAGTACTAATACAGCAATACCTACGAGCTATTTGAACACATTTATTTTATGATCTACTGACGTTTTAAAGCGATATTGTTCGAAAATAATATAGTGATATAGTCATCAGTTCATCACATTTTGTCCTTTTGTTGTAATTTCTTCAGTGTCTTGAAATTACGAATAAATAATGTAATATTATATTGCAGATAGGCCGCAATAAACAAGCGTGTACGAAATTGTTTTTGATTCTTATCGAAGAATGTAATGTGTTAATTCTGCAATGATGTGATTTTTTTTATTCCGAACGAGTTCTTAAAAAAATTAGAAAAAAATATATAGATCAATTATTATATTATATTATTATAAAGGCACTGTACTAATTSAAGTATTTGAGTATATTATACTTATATTTAAGTATATAAAATACCAAATATATTGATAGTCGCATACCGACATGGCACAGTGATGCAGCCCGTTTAATATATATGTCGACATGTCGTATCCACATAGTGAAGTCACTAATTTAATGAACTGGAAATCCATATTGTAAAATTCGTCCAGATTGTGAGTTTTGACGAAAATACATTATGTGGACATCCATTTCATGAAATGGACAATATCTACCTTTATTGTGTACTTTTAATAATTATTAAAAAACAAGATTGTTATGTTATTTTGCAATGAATAATAATATCATATTATATATAATTTATAACTAATCTAAACTATCTAACTAAATATTAATTAATAAATATAAAATAAAATMATATAAATAATAAATTAATAAAATTTAACACAAACGCGTATTAATAACGCGAAAGATTATTATACATRTACCAGGAGCGTATGCTATGATCGTGATGGTTGTCGAACGAGTAAATACTACGCTGCCGCCGCCGTGACCGATGCTCATCGCGAGTCGACGATATTAAACTGAACGAGTAGCGAATACCACATGCGACACTGGTACTGTCGACTCAGTTTTGTATATTTCTGTTCTCGAAATGAACTATCTAAATAAATATTGTTGAAAATTGAAATCTCGATCAACTTTATTGCATGAAAATTGTATAATATTATGTATAAATATGTTATATTAAATAAAAATGGTATTCTTGAATATTATGATATTATGACCTTTTACACATAGACCAGCCATGATATGAGGGGCTATATTATTGCCGAAAATATTTCAGCCGAAAATATAATAATAATACCTATTAGATTGTATTA